GGTATATGCAAGGAAATATGGTAAGAACAGTCTCTGCCACTTATGGAGACAGCAAAAGTAAAAAGTCTGCTCTCAAACCACAGTAAGAACAATCAACAAGCTAGCCTCCCTAATTGCTGCTACTGTTACTTAATGCAAAGAAAAATCTTCTCTCTTCATTCTGCCTTTAAAGAAAACAAAGTGCATACCTTAGTTGTACATTTTATGCATGAATACACATTTTTTTTACCATAAGTAACAGGGCCTTTCTATTTTTATTTCAATAGTTTACATTGAAATAGCAAAGTAGGAACAAGTTTGAGAACTGTTAACAAAGACAGTGTCTTTTATAAAAGTGTTAGCAAGCATTTGATAGGGCAACAAATTATAGTGGTTTATATTATCCTATGAACATGTAAAACTTATTTGAATGGGTAGAAAGTGATCATGAACTAAAATTACTAACCACACGCAAAGCAAGTTTATGGGCTTCTCTGACCAATGTTACCATCTAGTGTTCCAGGATACTGAGACACTCAAGTAACAGACTAGTTACTCATTATGGCTGCTTGCAAATGTTAAAACAAAACAAAACACTTTACAATGCATTATTTTGACCTGGCTCTGCAGCATTTGTATAGTTTGAGTGCTTCAGCGGGGCTTTTTGGTGCTTTTACCTAAAGCTATTAGATAAAAGCACCAAAAAAGCCCCACCAAAGCACCCAATCTATACAGACACCGGGTGAGTTGGACAGGGCATGGCACAGGAACGTGCCAAGTTTAAAGTAAAGTAACTTTTTTGTTTTTTTTAATGTCTGCAAGCAGCCTATTAAGCCTATATAACTGGAACTATGGAAGTAACTCATTGTATGAAATAAACAATTACTCAAGAGCTGATACAAGGTTTACTAACAACCATTTAACTGGTCTGTTAAACTACAGTTTTCATAAGACTTTTGTAACCAACTTCTTCTGATCTTTCAAGAATCTTCAGTTGCTGGCTAGCTACTGGATTAAAAAAACTAAACAAGGCAAAACAATCAATGTTTACCAGCCAGTTATTACTCTTCAGTACATACTCTCTCTGTAAACCTTTGGTCTCTCGAATTCCATGTACTAACTTGCTTCCATTGTTCAAACAGGTGTGTTATGAGCAGCCCCCATAAGCTCTCAGAACAGACTGTGCAGAAGTTTCAATATTCTGCCTTAGCCTACCCATTAAGAAAATAAGACAGCCAGAGCAGAAGGTCAGCATGATATGCATTATGATCACAAGCACACCCACCTAGAGGTGTACCAATATATTGGTACCATGTCAGATTAGCACCGATAAAGGGAAAATTAACATTATTGGCTTTTTTTGGCCGGTGTAGCCGATAATGTCATGGATAAATACAACATCCCTTTTGGCCAGGGCCCCTGCACACCGCATGCATGCCTGCAGCCACACGTGCACATGGCCAGGAATGCAGCCAGGCAGCATGGAGAACAGCACCCTGCAGGTAAGTCTGTGGATGGGAAGGGGTTTGGTGGAGGCAGATCAAGGACCCCAGTGAGGGAGGGAGTGGAGCTGGAGGAGCTGCCCAGCGACGGCAGTGAATGGGACCCAGGGCCGGGGTGGGGAGCAGGATGGAACTGCAGGGGGAGGCACAGAGGGGCATATGCTCCTCCAGATTTGCATGTGGGCTCAGGGCTCTCCGCTCTGCTGTCTTTGTTCTGCGGGCCCCATGTTAACTGCACATTCCCTGCCTGCCTAGCAGCAGTGGGGACAGTAAGCTGTGCCTCCTGCTGCTGTGCGGACAAGGGACGAGCAGTCGACATGGGGCCCAAGGACAAGGGCAGCAGAGCCGAGAGCCCTGAACCCACAGCAGGCAGCCTGCATCCACCCTCGCTCCCCTAAGCTCCACTCTGGTTAAAAGTGTCCCCTCACTTAAAAATAGTGGTGGTGAGGTGGCACTTGAACTAATGCTCATTTGACAAGCTTTAGTTCAAGTGCCACCACTGTTGTTTTTAAATGCTGGGATGCTGATCCCCTGAATGAACCACCTGCAGCTCTGTCCCACTCCCTGTCCCTGCCCTCGGTCCCATTCACTGCCCTACTCCCCACTCCCTCCCCCACCGTGGGAGCCTTGATCTGCCCCCCACTCTATGCCCCTTCCTCTCCACAGACTTACCTACAATATACTGCTCTCCACGCTGCGTTCTTGTAAACTGATTATCCAATCGGTATCCCCCGATATGAAATCTTTATTGGTGCACCCTACACCCAACAATCCGAATTTGGAACAAGTAGCTGCTTAGATTAAAAATCACTGCCTTTGCCCAGTTATGCTGGGAGTCCTGCACAAAAACACAGATTTAATGTGGAACTTTTCACTTTTGATGGTGCCTCTTTAAATCCCTGACAGCAACTCCAACACCTCACATCACTAAACTTACTTTTCCTGTTTCAGGACAGAAGGAAGTTCGCAGTGAGTTATGATTGCAGTACATCCATCTAGTAAGGGTTCTAGTATGGCTGTGCTCTTGAGGTCACCCACTAGACATCAGTGTTACTCCTTCTGTACATGTCATGGCAGCCCATCCATTATTCTCCCTATCTTCAGGAGAAGTTACATTGGATTTACGAAGGGGAAAATGGCATTTTCAAAAACATCCCCCAACCTCCAGGGAAATAAGTGACAGGACACAAGACAAGTCCAAAAGCTACCTTGTAAAAATTAAGCATCAGGCATATTTCGACAACAGCACCTAATACCCCTGTGAAAGCATGTTATGGAAGGTTTCCTTGTGTAATGACTAGACAAGTTTCAACATGACCCTCTCAGGTAGGAGCTAACATTTTACCTAATTACCATATTGTAAGCCGAACAGGGTAGTATTTGGGAGTTGGCAGAAAATTAGGGAGCCAGAGGTTACATAGTTTATATTTTCAAGTGCGACTGGCAATTTGGGATGCCTCTACAGAAACACTTAAAAGGGTCCCATTTTTACATGGCAAGTGCTCAGCACTTTCTGAAAATTAGGCCCTTTTGAAGCACATCAATTTGGGCACAGAAAACCTGAAACACCAATTTCTTAAAATACAGACCAATTTAAATAAGCCTTTGAAAGCACTTAGCTAGACAGAACTGCACTAGGGCACATACTTTGGCCCGCCATGTCAGTTTGAAAATGGCATACATCTCACTTGAACCCTGCAACCAAACCTCATGTTCTGCAGAAAAACTGAATTTGCATGCACTATACCAGAAACCTAGCCTAAGCAAAACAGGCACTCCAAATGAAATCCTGATTTGTGACAAGAAAAGGCAATGATTAATTCAAAATTAGACACTATATTTTGCAAAGCTTAAAAAAAAAAAAAAATCACTATCAAGCCGGTATTTAAAACAACAGAAGCGTCTAAGTCAGGGATGGGCAATTATTTTGGGCAGAGGGCCGCTTACTGAGTTTTGGCAAGCCATCGAAGGCCACATGACAGGCAGCCCCGGGGCAAATTAATATTAATTTTCAAAATTTTTTAGGGGCCCCGTGGGCTGGATAGAATGTCC